AAGATAGAGAATGTAAGCGCGCACGAGTGCATTGGCGGCGTGTGAGCGCAGGGGCAGCGACCGGCCCCGAGATCTAGTGTGCCGGGTCAACACGCATTGTAGAACACGACGGGCACGAGGTGTGCACTTCAGCCAAAGCGTCTGTGCCCTCACCGGTGGGCAGGCCTGTGCGTCCCTCCAAATGTCTGTGCAAGAGTTCTGGGAAGAAGTACCGTGGGCGATGCAGTGGGTGCCTTTGTGCGCCGGTGCTGAGCAGGCCGTGGGAAGTGGGAGTGGGTTTGCCAGAGAGAGTTTACCCGCGCGAGTACACAACCTCAAACTACGCAGTCACGACCCACACTCACCCTTTCCCTAGGCAAGCCAGGTTGCCTATGCGGAGGCCCAGAGAGGCCGGCGGAAGCGCAGCGCGGGGAAGGCGATTCTCCTCTCCTGAGAGCGCGGCTCTGCCGGAGGCGGCGGCGACAGCCGGCAGGCTACTCGGGAGATCCCCCAGCTCCTCGCATGGACGTGCCAGACGCCACAGAGGCGACGAGGCGTCTCCTGCTGAAGCTGAGGGTGTCCGAGCCAGGAAGAGGGGGATCGGCGGGAGACAGGAGTCCGAGAGGCCATTGAGCTTTGAAAGCGCCGCAGGCCCTGCATAGAACCGGGCACAAGCCTCTAGCCCCAGCCTGCGCCGCTGGAGGCACGGCCGCTTGGCTCCTCGCGACAACCCGCTAAACCACCCCTCGCCCCCTCCTCCTGATCCGGGACCTGGCGAGAGAGGCAGGATCCGCGCCCTGCAGTATGTCGGAGGCTGACACTCACCCGGTCTGTGGCGCGCTGCGTCTAGCCGGATCTCCTGCGCAGTCCTGCGCTCCGCACCATCTTTCCCCTGCTCCACCGCCCCGACCCTTCACCCCTGCGCTAGGAGGGTGGCGAGGGAAGGCCTGCGTGCGTCCCCCGCGGGCTGGCAGCCAGGCGCGCAAGGGCTGCTCTGGCCCGTGCTTCCCGCCTGCGCGGTCTGCTTTCAGGAACCTGGCTTGGCGCGCAGTATCAGAGGCCCCCGCGGCGGGGGCAGGCTGAGCCCACAGGGGCATTAGGCCAACTCCCCCCGCACCCGCGGAAATCTCTATTATTATTATTAAAGAATCACCAAAAACGTGTTTACGTTAAGCCCTGTAAACTTCCTGCCAGGGCCTTTGCCATCTCTCGGGAAATCAGAATTTGCGCTTGGAAAATAAGGCTGCGGGGCCAAATAGACGGGTTTTCAGTGTGTGTGTGTGTGTGTGTTGGGGAGAGCAGCTGGCTTGAGTGTGAGTTCAGATCAGACCGTGGCCTGTGTACGCGTGAGTGGGAGAACTCAAGCTCCCAGGTGCCTATTACGTGTGTAAGCACATTGATGGGCGCGCACATGCCTGAGAGCTCTCTGTGCATGAGTGGGAACGCACGCATAGGTGTGTTTTACGCCCATGTGTAATCCACCGGGTTTGTGTATGCATCAAGGCATGTATGTGTGTGCTAAGCGTGTGCATAAGTACACGAGTGAGTGCACTCACGGGTGAGGGAGTAGGCCGGTTGTTCCGGGAGCCTGTGCGGTTTTGGTCCCTGCTGGACCAGCGGGTTCTCACTAACTCCCATCCGGTACGCAGCGCCGGGACCAAGCAGCCGCGACCCGCCCTGCGCTTTCGTTTTCTGCCTGCGGTTGGCCGGGGCTGCTGCCCGCTTGTTCGAGCGCTGCTGGGCGAGTCCGAAAACTCCCGGGCGCGGCGCAGTCCCGGCCGGGGCGGGGAGAGTGGGTAGGCGGTCCCTCGCGGGGACTTAAGCCGAACCGCCGCAGGGACCCGTAGCGGAGCCGGCTGTGCCGGCGACGGTCACTACCTGACGGCCACCACAGCCGCCTCTGTACTTGCGATCTGCCACCCAGCTGTGCGCGTCGGAAAAGGTCCGGGTCCAGGGCGCCCTTCCCACCCGGCCACCCGGGCGGGGAAAGCGGGAGATTGCGCGCGCGTCGGGGCTGTGCCGCGGGCCGTGGGCGCCTTAACTCCTGCTCGCCAGGTTGGTGGAGGAGGGGCTGGTTCTCCAGGGGCCGCGAGGAGGCGAGGGTGGGGGCTCTTTAAGCGTCCACGCGGGGGCCGAAGGGGAACGGGAGGGAGGGAACTCCTGGAGGGTCTTGCGCCCGCCCGCGAGACGCCGCCGCGCGGAGACACAGGGAAAGCGGCCTGGGCTGGAATCGTGGAGCCGAGCGCCGCGGGCGGCGAGGACCCAGCGCTGCTCCCGGCCCGGGCGCACGCCCGCAGGCCTAGAGGTGGTGCCTCCCCCAACAGAACCCGGGCGGGGGG